GTAATAATAATTAAGAGAAACGCCTGGATTTGCAATAAATCATTAAACCAATAAGATGAAGAGAAGAACCCTAAAAAGCTACAAAAATGACTGATTTTCTTGCACAGTTTTCTTGATCAAGAGTCAAAAGCTTTCAAAAATAGGGTGCAAAAAGGGTAGAATCGAAACGATTGCAGTTTGGGAATGATTTAAACAGTGAAAAACTTTGGGGGGGGGGGGAATGGCGAAGTAGGAAAACATTGACCCGAGTTTAAAGATCAAATACTAAGAAGTTGAAAAGCGAGGAGTTGTACGTACCGTAACTTGAGGGAGAAGACAAGTGGCTAAATTTATTGAAGATGCTGACGGGGAAGAGAGAAAATGGGGTTTCTTTGAGCTTTAAAAATTAGGAACTGAGAATTTCAGGGCTTTGTTAATGGCAGAAAATATTGTCTTTTGACTATCTCTATCTCCTTTGGGATTTGGTTTGAAATATAATAAATAAAAGCGTAAATTACATATTTAATCACCAAATTATCACTTTTATTCCGTTTTGGTCATCTAACTATTACTTTTTTCCAAAATCATGCCTAGGGTTACATTTTGGGTTTGTTTGTCATCCATCATTAGAAAATTAACAGTGATATTGATGTGTCACCATAAAGTAATATCACGTCACCATTGAAAAAATAAAAAATTGCCAGCTCAATAGTTTTATTTATTTTTTAACAGCAAGCGACCAACACGTAAAGTTAAGTATAATTTTGAAAAAATTAATAGTTGGGTGATAAAAACGGAACTAAAGTGATAGTTAGTTGACTAAATACGAAATTTACCCTAAATATTATGCCACATCATCATAAACTCAGTGAAAAAAAATAAAGATGTATGGTACAATAAAGGTAATACAATTTTAACATAGAAATTTAAAGGGCGAAGAAAATTAATATTAAACATTTTTCTTGATTAAATTATTATATTTAAAAAAAATAGCAATTATCAATAATCTTCATGCGTCTATTAGAACCTAAACACAAATTGATGAAAGACATGGAAACCGAGAAAATAATCTTACATATTGCTCCACGGATAATTTTGAATACATTGAGAAACTATCGTAAAAAGAGATCTAATTATATGAGACAGTCGACTTTTTGTTATCAAGAGATGTGTCGTAATGAATGTAACACGAAACATCAAACTATCATAATGCTTAAACTCAAAAATATCATCAAAATAGACAAAATATTAATATACAGTTAAGAAAATGTCTTATAAAAAATATTAATAATTTTTTATATTTTCGGTAAAATGTTATTTAAAATATTTTTTTACCAGAAATATTAATTCCGCTAACTAATTCCCGATAAAACCCAATATTAATATTTTTTGTAAAAAAATAATATTTTAGGAAATGTTAAACATTTTAGGTAACGTTCAATATTAATATTTTCAATAAAATAATAATATTATAGATAAAGCTATACTAAAAATGTTAAAAAATATTAACATTACCGATATTGTATTTCCTTAGTCTATATTAAAGCTTCCGTATAGGGATAGCAAACGAGTACAATTTCGTGGATTTCGCACCGTACCAACTCATATTGGGGCGGGAATGGGTATAACTTTAGTGGGTAGTGGGCGGGTGTAGATTTAAAAAGTGGTACCCGTCGCGGGTAGTGGACGGGTGATGGGTTTGAGACCTTACCCGCCCCGCATTCGCCCGCCCACTAAATACCTATTAAATTTTAGACCATTATGAATTTATGTATAATTTTAGAAACTAATGTATAAATTTTTAATATTGTATAAGATATAATTTATAATTTAACCAAATATTATTATGTTTCTTAATGGACGTGTTTGTTTTATGTTTCTTGCTTTGTATAACTTAAGGTTGCTGTCAGGCAGGTCTAGTCGAGAACATCTCCAGTTAAGTAGTAGATGTGGGGATGTATTTGAGAATATACTCGCGTAGGTGGGTGTGGATCTGAAAAGTTTTACCCATCATGGGTAATGAGCGGATAGTAGATTTAAAAATATTAAATGAATATGAGGATAAAGGAGGGTATCCACACTCGATCCGCCCATTTACTATCCCTACTTCCGTACGTGATACATCCAAAAATTGGACCAACAAATCTACATTTTCATTTTAAAATTCTCCCTGCATAATATAGTTAATAAATGTTATGTCAAAAAAATAATTAATGAAAATAATTTCATTTTCCATTTTCACAAGGATTTGGGCCCACCACTATCCCATGACCCCATAATTCATCAAATCAACCTGAAATCATAATGCATCTTCCTGGATTGCTAGGGTCACCGACTTTTCAATTATTTAATTTCGGTTAACTAAATTAAGTAATTACATTATGGTAATTTTAATCGATTTATTATTTTTTTATATGAACAAAAAATTATCGATAAAGTGGTCACAAATGGTGACGATGAAAATAAAAAAAATATTTTGAGATCAAAGAAGAAGAACCATATATAAGAAACAATAAAATTTTGAATATTGATATTTTTTATTAAGCTAAGGTGATTACAAAGTAGTATTTATTTTAAATAATTTTAACTATTTGACAATAAACGCTCAATCACCTTGATGCAGTCGTTAGTGCTTGAACTCATGATCTCTAAGAACAATAATTATTCCTTTGACTATTGAGATAAGTCGGTCCGTGTTGAATATTGGTATTTTTTTTAGAGAAATAAATTTTAATCTTTATATATTGTATATTTTTAAGAATACATAACAACCTTTTAGTAAAAGAATAAAGATAGATAGATAGATTTATGCTGATAGACTATAAGAAAGGTGGTGTTTGATTGGGGAGAAACACATAATTTTATGTTACGATGATCGATTTCTAAAATATTAAGGAATCATAACTTTATAAAATTTTAGGTGATAAAAATAAATTATAAATAAAAAATATAAAAATATATTTAAAATATATAATAATTTAATTTTTTTTTTAGAGAAACGACGTCTTCATCCACTTTCCTTGACCCATCCATGTGCATGATAAGGGACAAACGTAGGATTTTATATTGGGGGAGTTGAACTTGAACTTTTAAAATTCTAAATGATGAATTTGAACTTATAAAATTTCATGGGATGAAAACAGATTTTTAATAAAAAATACATAAAAAATTTAAAATATATAATAATTTTAAATTTTCAAAAGATTACTATCCCACCTACCCTTCGGTCCATCTCAGTACATGACATAGGGTGGTTGGTCGCATGGGCAAATTTATTACCAATGTCAATGGTGTACAGACTTAAGTGTCTTTTGACTTTCTAACAAGCAAACATTCCAGGACTCTACAAATAAATTCAATATGCATGTACACGAGAACACCAGTGGCAAAAAACCGATTCATATTTTTACTATGATAATCAGATCTTCATGGACCACATTTTCCCTTAATCTTCAAGTAAAGGAAAAGTATACTATAGTATTTAATATTTATCAATTGGATCATATTTGTTGTCGAAATGTGCAACAATACCATGGACTGCCTTGATTGACATAACAAAATTTCAATTTAGTTTCCTCATCGACTGTGAACGTGTAACAAAATTATTGACATAACAATTAAACAAAATTTAATATGCTAACACATTTGTTCCTCATTGTTTACACATCCTATCAATCGGACCATAATTTTGATCCCTCAATAATTTAATAATTGAAATTCAATAAATTTAATTATGATCAAATCGACGTACTATACACGTAATGAGAATCAAATATGTTATCGTACGAATTTTGCTTAATTGTCACACCATCAATTTCGTTCACAGTTGGTGACTTGATTGAAACTTAATTGACAAAAAAATCTAGTTTGATAACAAAAATATAATCAAACTAAAAGTTTAGTGATCTTAGGGTAGTATACCCTAAATAAATAAAGGGTATAGCATATTAATAAAAGCAATCAATGAAAAAGCATAAAAGAAAGGGTGTAAAAGGAGGAAATCTATGAGTCCCTACTTGTCACAATCACAAGAAACATATGCTCAGAAAGTTCACATGTATATATATATAGCTTTGTAGCGAACTAACCATTGCTTTAACAAGGTATTTATAACAACACTTTTCACTATGAGATCAATCAATCTTTCCCATGGACATCGATCTTGATATATGCATGGTATGGAAAATACATACACACATATGTAACCTCAGAAATCAACCCCACATGGCCATTTGTTATCATGATCTTACCACTAACATAAAATAGATGTGAAGGGATTTGTTCATATCCATACAATCATACATGCACATGCATGTTCATATAGAAAGCTAAACTTAGGTTCACATACAACATATATGAGAAATAATTGTCTTGAATTATTCTCGCAGTGACAAATATGAACACTACAAGCCACCCAAACTCAACTTCTAATAAACACATATAATCAATTTGACAACGATTTGTGTACCCGTATGAACATATAAAAGATATTTTGATATTGGAGTAGTATATATATAATTTTATGTATTTTTAATGGATCAGATGATACACGTATGTAGACATGTATATATGTATAAAACATAGAGATTGATGATGAGATTGATCTATGTAAAGGAAAGGTGCACACTTCAAGAGGAATTAGCAAGAATGGACCATTCCCAATAGTATCCACTAGAAAATAATATTGTTGACATAGAATATTGAACATTTATAACAATCATTTACCTGCAACACTATCGTTGGTGGATCCATTGTATAGTACTAAATTACGGTCACTAAGATAATATTCACATCATAACGATTTTTAAGGTTATTGTAATATAATAGCATTCATAATGAATATTGTAATTATGATTCAGTACTATGCTTTAATCTCTTCAACTATACCACCAAAGATAACCCTAGAGCCTTTTTCTTTTTGGTTCATGGTGCGTCCAAGGTTGTCTCTTGAATGGAAATGAAGAAGAAGAGGAAGAAAAACTAATGAAAACTATCTAGCAAAAGAAGCCCCCCAAATGGGCAAAAAAGGAGAGAAAATTAAACGAAGTGAACCTGGTTACATTTGACCCTCTCTTCTAAGCTTGTTTAAGAGTACGGTGATGAGAGCATCTCTCTTCTCCGCCCTAGCTTCTTCCCTCACCCGCCGTTGCTCTTCCCTTTCCCTCCACCGTCTCTCCATCATCATCCTCTCATTCTCCAACGCTTCCATCGTCTGCCGCCACTCCATCTCCTTCGACCGCCGCTCGTTCTCCCTAGACTCGAAAGCTTCCCTCCATCGCATCTCTATCTGCAACTGCTGCCTCATGAAATCCTCCAACATTTCCTTTATATCATTGTTTCCACCACTTGTGCTAGTACCACCAGTTTTCACTTTCTTCTTCTTCCTAACACTATACTTATTATCCAACTCGTTTTCCTCCATATCTTCTTCCTCATCAGAAGCAGCAGACATTTTCCTTGTGGCTCCTCCTCCGCCGCCGCCTTCGCTTTCCGAACATATAATACTTTGCATCCTAGCCGTGAATATAGCCTGCAAGTCGTCGTAAAAAGGGAACTGCTGCCTCGCAGCTTCCGCTTCAATCGACCCACATCCCTGTGAGTAATATATTAGATCATCAAAGGATTAAAACTTAAAAACTTAAGATGGAATATTAGAGATTATTATATTACCTTGTATCGAGTAACGAGATTTTTCCACTTGCACTTGCACTGTTCGGCGCTTCGATTGTAACCTTTGTCCCTCATCCGAGTAGATATAACTTCCCAGAGCTGCTTGTTCCTCTTCGTCTCCATGAAGCTTTGATCACGCTCTGCTCTGATAGATAAAAACTCCTTTGTCTCTTGAAGACTCCATTGAGGAAACCTATCAGCACCACCAGCAGCCTCAACGTTAGCACTCACAGGATGATTTTGCAGATGATGATGCCGATGCTCCATATTTACTTTTCTTTTACACCTAACAGAAGATCATTAATCCAGAAAAGGGAAAGTTTTAAAAAAGTAAAAAACAGCAAAGATTCACGAGGAAACGGTGTGAACACAAAGCAGAACTGGTCGAGAAAGAAGAAGACTTACCCGGAAAAGGTAACAGGAAGAAGAAGGGAGAAAGATCGATGGGTTTTGTTAATCGTTCATAATCAAGCAAATGAGATCAAAGAAAGCTTTCTTCTTCTTTCTGTCTTACCAACACAACAGATTCTCTCTCTCTCTTTCCATCTCTATCTCTCTACGCGTAAACTATTTCCTTTTCTTTTTTTTTTTCTTTTTTTTTCTTTTAAATTTAATAATTATTTTTTTCTAGACTATTTGGCCCGTTGCGTTTACGTGGCGTCATGCTGACAATCCTAGATTTTATTTTTTTAGATGTATATTTTTTTACTAGATATCTATATTTTATTTTTACCGTAAAAGAAAACATCTTAGTATTTTTTTAATTAATCACTGGTATTCGATATATTGATCGATAAATCCATATCAAATACTGCAGAGATGAGAGCGACCTTCTTAACCCAGTTTGCTCCATTCACAAGCGTCAGGATTCGAACCTCTAACCTTGCTTAAGGGAGTCAATGTCTCGTTCTACTAGACCAACCCGTTGGTGATAACATCTTAGTATTTTAGTATATATAAAAGTTGATTTTAATAAATTGATTGAGAGATTTAGGTGATAGAATAAAATGTTTTTATTTTAAAAGATTTGTATTTGAGTAAGTATATATTATTATAGATTTAAATTTTTTTGAACACAATCTATTATATTATAATCATCACACATTATTAAAAAAATCTATTTTACTCTATATTATAAAAGAAACAATTAAATTTATGTACTTTAAAAAGTGGATATTTTAGATCAAAAATTGTAGAATTATAATATTATAATTATTGGGTTTAAATATTTTTGTTTAAATAGCCTTTAGGTCCTAATCAAATTTTAAATAGAGTCCATTTTAAATTTGAGAGAATAAATTCCTCTTGAAAAATTAGAGTAATTTATTAAATAAAAACGATCTATGATGGTGTTAACCTTTTTATTCGGTGTATTATGCCCTACAATAATTGAATGCCTTTTTAAAATATAAAACCAAAAATTTTATAATATATTCTCATAATCTTAAATTATTTTACAAAATTTTAAATATATTTATGGTTTTTTATTATAAAACTCTTACTCTCACTTTAAATCTAAAAATTCTTAGAATATTCAATATTTTCAATTAAACATTTTAAACATTTTTTATATTTTGACTTGTAATTGTAATATTATAGTAAATGAAGATAACATAGTTTGAAGTTAGAATAAAAATTAGTTTTGTATTTAAATTTTATAAATGTTTAGAATATTTATGTAAAAATTCATATGAGAAAGATTATTTTGTTCGTGATTAAAATTGAGAAAAAAACTAAAAAAAATTAAATATTTTGTTCAGAATCTTTATTAGCAATTGATAATGCACAAAATCCGCAAATGTAAATGTTTAAGCCCGTGATCTTTAGAGGAAACAACGCTTATATAATTTACTGAAATCACTTTATGGATCATAAAAGAAACTTTTTAACATGTTAGTACGAAAATGATACTTTTTTTATGTTAGAGGATTAAAGTAATTTTATAATATAGTACAAGGAATCTAAATAAACTCAAACCCAATCTAATTCAATACTAAATTACTTGAAAATGATTAAAAGAATTTGTTTGATAGAATGATTAAAATAAATTCAAAGTATAATAAACATATAAATGCATATTTATTATATATATATATATATATATATATTCTATCAGTGTATTTACAATTATTTATTTTCAAATGGGAAAGCCTAGTTGAAGATATATATATAGTCAACTTTCTGGTCCATTATGCCTTGAAACCGTGTGAAGGTGACAAAATTGGCTTTCTCTAACTGTTACGTGGAGGCGGTAACGTTTTTTTTTTACTTTTTGCGTGGATTTTTAGGTGTCCTAGGTTAATATAATTAAGGGTAAATTACATTTTTAATACTTATATTATTATTATTATTATTAGTATACTTAAATTTTATTTTTTTTCTAAAGGTATATCCAATATTTAATTTGTCGATTCAATTAGTTTAATTTTTTTTAATTCTACTCAACTATGTTGGATGTTGACATTAATTATAATGAGTCCACGTGGGGCTATGGGATGCAAAAACACATGCCCAACAAATTCAACATATGGATTTCCATTTTCGTCCTCTTGGGCCATCTGTTTTCCAGAATGCCCCAAAACTGATAAAGTAGTCCAATTCTAAATGAAAATAAATAAATAAATAAATAAATTTGTATCATCATGCACAGGAAGAGGTCGAAGGGTACGTTATATTTTAATTTTTTTTATATATTTTTAATTAAAAAACTATCTTTAATTTTTAAAATTTAACAAGTTTAAGTTCGAATCTTAAAATTTTAAAATTCACATTCACCCCGATAAGATCATAATGTGACCGTCTAGCATCACATCACCCTTCTTCCGCGATGAGGGGCTTACGTGCAATTTTATCTGCCCTGGGAATTTTAAAGTGGGCCACTTTGTGTGTTTTAGTTTGCTTCATTGACGTCAATGGGGAGATTTTGTTGGGATTTGCCTTCCCCTGTTCAAATCTAATTTTGCAAACATATGTTGAGATTTTGATTTAGAGTTGTAGATAGATTAGGGTGAAAATTGAAATTCTGGTACTAGGGGTGTAAACGAGCCGAGTCGAGCTCGAGTATTGTTGAGCTCGACTCGACTCGAAAACTCTGAAATGGAATTCAACTCGACTCGAAAACTCGCGAGCTTAAAATTTTTAAGCTCGACTCGAACTCGAAATCCTAAACTGAAGCTCGTGGGCAGCTCGAAAAGGCTCGAAATGAAGAAAAGAAAATCTTAAACTTAACTCGATTGAAGCCTCAAACTCGAACTCGAACCTGAACCTTAAATACATGAAAATATTAATGTATGTTTATAAAAAAATCAACACATAAATGTTGATATTATTAATAATTTATTTTTAAAAAATAAAATCTTAATATATTATATTTTCGAGCTACTCACGAGCTTTTCGAGTCGAATATCAAGTAGTTCGTTTCGGATCGTTAAGAGCTCGAGTTAAGCTCGAGCTCGAGTCGAATCCATTCGATCCGAGTATTTATTGAGCCTTGATCGAGTCTATCTCGAGTAGCTCGCGATCTGTCTCGTCTCATTTACAGCTCTATCTGGTACATTTGAATTGGTCAAATTATGAGTTTGGTCTATATACTAAGCTAAAATATGGTATTTAATCCGTTAATTTAATTTGATAGAACTTAATCTCCACTTTTATGATATAATTAATAGGATTAACTATTTTAATTAAAAGGACACGTTGAAGCTGTTGGCTCATTTTTCTCAACCCTAAAAGTCTCGGTCGTTTTCTCCCTTTCATTCTTTAGTTGGCAAGAGATGACATCAAAGTTAGTGTATGTCGTCGGTGTCTTTTTATTTTTTTCCTTACATTTTTTACATCAAATCTTTGTTTTTTTATTTGTTTTGGTTTTTATGACAATTTTTTATATTTTATGATATATTTTCTTTTGGTACAAATTTTTATTGTTTAATTGTTGTTTTTTTTCAGGGTTAAATTTAACGTCGTCGCGACTAATTAAGTTGCCGTTTAATTGTTTTCATTGTTGATCTTTCATATTTTGGACCGTTAGATTGAATCCAAATACGCAATTTATGTTCGTGGTTAGTTTTGTCATGTCCTCCAACTTTGATCTACGGTTTTTCGATGATTTTTCAATAACTTGATCTACTTTTAAAGTTCTTCTGCTGATGTGGTCAAATATATTTGCATCTATATTTTGTTTGAGTTTTTTAACTATTTTTTAACCTTCTCCTTGTTGGTTCTTGTGTGATCTTAAGTGACTAGTTTTTTTTTATGTCAATGGTTATAGGAAAATGTCTTAATTTTTGTTTAATTTACGATTAAGATTGTAGACTTTTGTTGAAATTCTAATTCATTTTTAATGATATTAACGACTTCTATAAAAATATACGTTGATATGAATTTTTCCCTTCAAATCAAAGGCGAATTGAGAAATATTTTAGGGTCGAATAAGAAATACATAAACTATTAGGGATAAAGTTTTGAATTTATATTAAAATCTCTAAATTGCAAAGAGGGTCTAGAAAGAACGAGTGTTTTTCACATTTATTTGAAGTAATCAATAATAGTATAAAAGGGATCATATCGTATTAATTTAAATCACATGACTAGATTCCAAATTTGAGCATTGTAGAAGGACCAAAATCACAAATTAAACCAACCCAAGCTTTGTTTCAAAATTAAAATCAATAAATAATAAACGCAGTCAAACCCCTTTTGTCATTCATGACCGAATTGCTGTGTTTTGTCTTTGCTGTCGTAAGCGTCTTTACAACGGTTATTGAAATAAGCAAAGACCGATACGATGATGGTGAGATCGATGCCGAATTCTTTGTTGTACGCTTCCGTAATTAATTATGGAAAACGCATATAACGTGTTCGAGAAAATGCCAACACCAAACATATAATTCACAGTTAACTATAAAATAAATAAATATATTCTTTCACATTTTATACATTAATATAAAACGTATGTATATGAAAATTGAAGGTTTGATCATAATTAATCTTCTGGTTATTATTCTGGGATAATCTGTTTTAAGGTCACTGAATTATAGATTCAATTTTATTTTGACCACTGAACTAAAGATTTTATCAATTATTAGTTATATAAAATTTATAATTGAATCGTATGATTTAACCAAAACCCAAACCGTCACAACTGAGATTAAATCCGGACTTGTAGGAGATTTGTTAATTGTGTTTGTTAATTTCCTTAATTCAACCGACAAGATTACATTCCCTTCAACATGTGGGCAGTGTAGGCCTATTCTCTTTTTTACTTTTCGTATAAAATAAAGTTTTGTATTACTTTTATATGTGTATTTTATATGTGTCATAAAATCAATTATTATTATTATTATTATTATTAACTATAAGAGTCTTTGTTAATGTTGACTATGCTTGTTGTTATATTATCAAATTTCATGAAACGTGTTTGGTTAGAGTATAGAAGTCGTATAATATTTTTTTCTAAAAGTTTCGGGTTTGAGCACGTCGTATATCAAGAGTAACGTTCATTATTA